AGTCTTACATGATTGTTGAAGGACTTGAATGGTCATAATCTCCAGGCATTTGTGTGTTCATGTGAGCTTGCCTGACATCCACTGGTGCCATTTTAAAAGCATAATTTTTTTGACTATACATGGTTTTATGGATATATTTTACCACCTGCCTGCACTGTGACCAGAGGATGTGAAGAAAAATACAAGGCCTGAGGTTACCATCATCAACGATGGATTACCCTGGAGCACAGTACCTATTTGTTTTGACTGTTTGGGACTTAATGATAAATTAAGATAAGAAAAAAAAGAAACATACTGAATGCCTGTAAATGTGTTGTTTCTGTATGGTTAGAGAGAACAGATGTAAGGCTGGAGAAGTTAGCATGTCTGCATTATGCCAGTTAAAATGCGGGGTTTCTCAGTTATCCGCTATATTTAGAGTGTTACACATCTTATCATTGATACCACAGTTTACCTATATATGGAGGAGAAACTCTAATTAATTAATGCTGTTGTGGTTCATTGTACTGTTCACTTTCAACACAGCACGGGCAACAGGCGGTGTGCGCGTTCACAAACTATCCTCTCATTTTTAGGAAGAGGCTCTCGGGTTTTATCATTCTGAAATAATTACAGACTATTTGGAGTTATGATGTGTATTGTGATGTGTAAAACAAATTTCTTCTCTAACTGTAAAGTTTTGCTTTGTGCTCTTATTATACTTCTTACTGCACTTCACAACTTAGACATTACAGCTCAGCTGATGTTTTGGTGTGTAGACCATTGATGAGCCTGAAGCACTGTCTCAGCATGCTGACAAGTTTGAAAAACACCACTATGTCTTGATTCCTCAGAAACTTCAGCTACAGGGACTGACAATCTCACATATTGTGAGGGGACTGTCACAGTGTGATCACATATCACAATGTGTGTTCCATCTTCTTCTTATAGGGCTCCTTGTGGATTGTCTTGCTATTTTGAGGAAAGCACTGTCAGGCTAACCACAGGCTGTCAATGAGATTTTGTCCCCCATCTTTGGACCATGTGATTGCAGTCTTGCAGGTGGTGAAAGGTCCAGATTACATTTATTACTGTGAATATGTTTAGATGCTGAACGAGTATTTAAATGCCTTTAATTTGCAGAAATGCCGACTAACAAAATTGTGTGTGATTCATCTATATGACGTTTAAAACTGGGAGAGCTGGGTTTTCTATAAAAACTACTTGAGCTTGTAAAATCCTGCAAAGGTTGCTCCAGAATTAACTGATAAGGCAAGTTTATTTTACCATTAATATTGTCATGGTATATCATCAACAGGTAGCACCAAAACACACTCTAAGAACCAGTAACAAACATCCTATCTCTAGGCCAGGATGAAGAGCACACCACTGATCCCAAACCATAATTTGGTTTCCATAAAAGGGCACTTGTGTAAACAATAAAACTGTCTTCCTTGATATAGCCTCACTAGAATCAATTGAAAATAACATATAGCAATAAATATCGATATGATTTCATTGGCATGGACCTGAGCACCACTGCATCACTCGTTGTCAGGGCCACTCGGTGGCCGCTGCCTCTCCTCCTTTTTGTCTCTTCTGTTTTCTCCGTCATATGGGCTCTGCACCTCAGCTGTGTTGCATTCCAGTAATTAGTAACTGGTTTGTCAACGCACACAGCTGAGGTGCATCCCGATGATGACCTTCTTCCCTTATTTAAACCTCTGACAGACGCTCCGCCGTCGCCGGAACATTAGCAAACATTAACCAAGTAACGCGTACCTATGTCTTGGATGGAATGCTACGTTGACAGTTACTGTACGTTTTGGCTTGACTCTATCGCACGACATACGCGTTACACTACACACACATTAACCTTCTCCGTGCCCACACATCACTATGTTATGTATGTCCTAATGGAATGCTACGCTGACAGTTACTGTTGCGTTTTGGCTTGACTCCATTTACACGACATAGGCGCTACACTACATACACCCTCAGTTTTGATTCGTCTCCGCGGCTTTGCTTTTTGGACAATACTTACCCTGTTCTTCTACCGTGAGTTTGTGTGAGCACCTGTTCGTCCTGGTCCCCTTTGTTATCACTGCCCCTCCTTTGTTATCACTGCCCTTCGTTTGTTGTAAGTATTACGGACCCTGTTTTGTTGTTACGTTGTCATTGTCTTATTTTTCCCCATTAAACCTTTGTTTTGTACTAGCACCTGGGTCAGCTATCTTGTGTCCTACCCCTAGTTCTCCCTCACCCTCCTGGCGAGGGGGGCTAACCCTAACACTCGTACCCTCTGACACTCCGCTAATGTTAAGACCCTGTACGGAGGGTAAGAAATTAAATAAAGCATGAGGGTTTTTCTTTTTTGCCACAATTTGCCCTACTCTTTTCTCATGAACAGTGAACAATATGCTATGAACTCATTGTTAGAGGTTCCTTATGAAATATCAGTCATTGTCACTTGACTGCTGTGTATTTGGTTGTTTCACCCATGTAATACTTATGGTGAGGAACCATACACCACTTTACAACATGATTCCATAAATTGTAGAGGGGTCAACTGATTTTACTGTAAAATGATAGCAGAGATGGCAAGTCTGCAAAAAGTTCTACCTGATATGTAGTACTACTGGGGCACTTATCGCTGTGTTTGATCCACGGAAGTCTGGAAAATCCCATGCTCCATTTGGGTATTGGTAGTGTAATGGTCACAGATTGTCATTTGTCATTTCTGACTGGCTGTCAAGCTTCAAGAAAGCCATCTTACCTTATATACTGTATGTCAGTCTGAGAGCAGGCACTAGAGAGAGGAGAGCAGAAATGGATTCATGAGTGGCATGGTGCTGATAATAGCAAGGACTGAATTTTTCACATCATGATGAACAATAAGTGTTAACCCTCATTCCTGAAGTATTTTGTTTGGTTTCTGTCTGCCTGTTTATTATCTAATTTAAGTGAAAGCAGCACCATGATCAGTGCAGGGTTGACATCACCAGAACAGGAATACAACAATCCAGTGATCAGTGCTGTGTGGAACAAGTTGAGCAGAGACCTAGCCAAGTTCATCAGGCTTTAGGTAAAGTCTGCATTCTATATCATAATTACTGTCAACCAATGACATTTACTGTACAGTATGTTGTGGTCTGGTAGGCAAATTCCCTAGACCTGACAAGAATTTACTTGTGCCATGAGAGTACATAGTATTTCAGTACTGTAATGACCTTTTTTACATACTGAGTTTGGTTTCAGTGAATGGTCTCCATCTCCATGAAAGTATGAGGAGCTAGTGGACTGTAAACATAGCATAAAGATTGCACTGAGATCTTGCACATGCATAGTTCACACTTGCTAACTTCAGATGGTGTATAGAGTTTTGGTCAGTTGGAGATTCTGTGGCAATATTTTTAACAAATATGCAGGTCTTGTGTTTTGTAGTGAAGAAGTGTGTCTCACAGTGCAGCAGTGTGTTTCAGTGATGTGTTTTAATCATTTTTGAACAAAAACAGAGATCTACACCATAGATGAACAAGATAATCCAGATTGGAGACTGACAGACTTTAACCCTGAGCAGTTCATTGTTGGTTTCAATGTCTGTATTAGGATTGCTGAAAATACCATTAATATAGAAAATGATCATCCTTTAAAAAGAATGGTCAACATAGATTGGCAGAAATATACAAATGTTAGTTTATTATAAAAATAATAAAAAGAAAAAAAAACTTGAGAAACCTCAGAAATTCAAGACAACAAGCTGAATTTGAATCTGGGCAATTTAACTTAAGAAGAAGAAGCTTTATTTATTGTCATTGTAACATGTACAACGAAATTATGTTTGGAGCAGAGGGCCACGGGCTGCTACGTGCATACACGCCGCCATCACGGGCAATGGGGAGCTTCAGTGTCTTGCCCAAGGGTGCTTCCACATGTGGACTGCAGGCACCAAGATTCGGACCTGCAACCTTCCAGTTGGGAGGCGACAGTGGTGCAGTGGATAGAGCAGTCGCCTCCCCCAAACTTACCTTCTTAAGTTAAAACTTGATAAGTTTAGTTTCTGAGTTTATTCATCATAATAAGGGTGCAGGCAGTGTCTGAGTCTGAATCTCCATCATGGGTTTCATTGTTTTAGTTTTGAAGGAAAAGCTTATCTGACTTCACTATGTCAATAGGTTAGCAAAAAGACACAGAAAAGCTTTCACCATATAACTTTTTATATTAGATAAAAGGGGGTGTCTGGAGACTCTTAACTTTTAACTACTGAACTCGTCATTATAAGCTCTGAAACTGATAATCAAATATTCTGACCTTGAAAGTGACAAATGTCTTACTATTTATTACTAATTACACCAAGAAAATAATGTTAATTTAATAATGAAACATTTGTTAAACGCAAATATAAAGTAAACACAGACTGAAAACTGATTTTTTTGCATTCTCTAAGGAACAAATCAATTGAACTTTTGCACTTTGTTAATGAATCACAAATTTAGACTCAAAGTTATCAGTTATAACAATTTCAATGATTAAAAAAAAATTATGCTTATAATTTGGCCTATCAACCTTCAGTTGTTATATATGCCAAAAAAATTTAAGTTGGCTTTGTTGTTGTTGTTTTTGTCATACACTTCCCATAACACAACTGATAGCATCATTCTGGTAGACCAGCCTGGTGACATGGCTTTCAGAAACTTTACACTTCCCCTTTGAAGCAACAAAAGATCACTACTTCCATCGTTAGATGTTTATTTCTGATATCATCATCAAAAGTTTTACAAAACATCTTCTGACAATATTATTCTCAAAGAAGAGCCATGTGTTTGCACTTGGACCAGGTCTCCACAAAAAATGCTTTAGATCTGAATGCAGTAAAAAGAACAAAAATCTAAATAAGGAAAACAAAATTAAAGAAAGAAACCTACCAAAGAAAACAATGCAGCACATATTTACATCTGACAGAAATCAATGTTCTGTGCAGAAAATTAATGCAATGGAAACCAGGGATCCTATGGTTTATATGGAAAATATTTAAGAGGGCGCAAAAAAAAAAAAAAGAAAGAGGAAAAATGTTTTGAACCTGCAAGGAAACAAAAACTAATTATGATATTTCTTTTTGGCAGCTTCTCACTGCCTTTTCTCTCACTATACTCTTGAGCCAACTGCAGGATTAGAATGCAGCCCATTTAAGTAAAAATCTTCTTTTCTTCAGTGCTTACATTAAATCCAATTAGGGGTGCAAACAGGCTTTGTCAGACAAACAAAAAAGTGTGTTTCCCTGACAGTGGTTAATGATCATGCCTTTCCTTTTTGTGTCCCCTCTGACATGAGCAGAGGCAGAAAAACAGAGTCAGGACAATTTAAGTCAGAGGTTAAAGACTTCCTGCTAATAGAAACAGCATGGAACAATAACAATCAATGAGAACCGGGCTGACCTGAACATCATTAATGGTGATGTTAGTTCAGAGGAGGTAGAGGAGTAGATGCTGCTATACACACACACACACACCCACACACAGCCCTTCTGGGCACATGCAGGCTACAGCTAAATTGCTGGCAATACTTATATGCCTTTTAGCATGACAAACTTATTATTTCTCAACACATTGCAGTCAGCACACGCTAATGACATACTAAAAAATAGAAACTGAAATCGGGACTCTAGAAGTAGCAAATGAGGAGCATTAGCTTGCTTTTTTTCTGCTCAGCCCTCCTATCTGTCATGACTGTGCGCTGTGTGGGTATGTCCTAATGCTAAGACAGATGTGTGCAGAGTAAGAAAAGGCTGCAAATCTGTGTCTGGTGTGGAATAAATTTTTCAAATCTACTTATCATGTAATGGATTAGAACCTTCTGAACCGTCTCAGATGGCCTTGGGTGAACTGGAATGAATGAGAGTGTCAAAACCTGCAGACCTTCCTTATCATTTATCAAGGCGTGTGTTGCCTGCTTTTTTTTTGTTTGTTTTCTTTTATTGATTGTTTGAAGTGGAAATGAAGTGGATTCTTGCTAATATATAGTAAAACACAATGTCACTTCAAATAAGGTGTTTAAACTGTATGTTGTATATGTGTGTTTTTGTATGTCAGCATGCATAATACATTGAGTTTAGAAGATGTAAATATGCCTTTTGGTTAGTTTTTGTGTGCCCGGTGTGACTCTGTAGAAGATGTGTGTATGTGATGTGTGTGTTTGAGCTTGACTGAATCAGTTTTTATGATTTCTTACAGTGGAAATAAAGCTGCCTGAGACATTTGGAGACATCACAAAGCCTTCGGTGTAACAGAATGAAATGCCCTTACACTTACACATTTGTCCATCAACATCTTCCCTATTGTATAGCATCTCTGGGTCTCTGTCTCATCTCCTCTGCTTTCCCTCTTCCCTTCGAGATTTAGCTTTTCCTCTGAGCATAAACACTGAAATATGAAAGTTTTCACTGCAATTCTTCAGACCTTTATTCAACCCACCCCAAGGAGAAAAGAGCAAAAAAGGGAGGGTGGGCTCCCTGTGGGGATTTGAGTACAAACGCAAAGAGTGAAGGGGTGTGGGGAGCTTGGGGTGTACAAAACCATAAACAAACAAAGCAGAAGAGAAAATAAAGCCTGTTGGCACTGTGGGACTAGTGCAGACGGTCGTGGAGTTCAGCTCAAACATGCATCATTAGCATGCAGCGCCTGTGCTTCCAGCTCTCTGATGGCAAAAGAAATGGACAAAAGACTAAATTATTAGTGGCAGCAGGATTCTAACATTATGCTTATTTTATCAGGGAGCTAGGCATGATTAATCAGTTTCTTATTAGTAGTTGATTTAATTGAGAACATACAAAAATTTTATTAGCATTTTCTAATTACACATGAAGAGCAACGTAGCTTTGATCACTGGGGTTAAACTGAATTGAACCATTACCACTGTTCCGAAATCTGAAGTAATTACTATGGGTGCTGAGCTTTAGCCGGAGACTATTAAAGAGAAAGTCTGTCTGTGGAGTGAGTGCCCAACAGAAGCCTCTTTCACACTTCAACTGCCTATACAGTACCCGGGAATTCTACTTTAGGTGTGACAGGGGCAGTAATGGGTCAGCAAACAAGTTGCTTTAAAATAACTGAAGTTGTCCATGACAGGTGCTTCTGGTTCCAGGGCACTCCAGACAGGAAATATCTCCTGTACTGTTTGTCTCTGGTTCAACCCTAACTGGGCATAGTTTCCCAAAATATCAGCATGCGGACAGAAATAGAACATCATAAAACAAGTTCACCCGATTCACCAAGAGGCAAACATGAAATTCAGGTCAAGGAGTTAGCAGGGGTGATACAGAGCAGAGCAAGACAATACATGGGTAGAATTAAGAGAGCTCCCTTTATAAAGACATTGGCACAGCTGTTATTACAAAGTAAACTCCACCAGCACTATTAAGCAACTGTACTTAGCGAATCAACTGCTTTTTATGCAATATCCTGTACACAAAGGGGGACTGAACCCTTAGTCATAGAACCATGAAGTTTTTTGGGTCACTTGTTGTTTTTGGGCCAGATTCTGATAAAACATTTAACAAAATAATGGCACATCAAAAAGGACACCCTTCAAACTATTAACCTGGTATAAAGATAGCACACTTCTTGTCCTTGAGTAGACTTTAAAATGGCAGACAGGGTTAAAAGTCTTTAACAAGAGGACTGAATTAGGATGCAACTAACAAGACATCATACAGCCACCTCTTGCATGATGGGTTCTCTAACATTTCTGAAATCAGAACACAAAATATGGATTTCTATGAGGTTTGACACTTGAAGTACATCACAATAACAAAACTCCCAATCTTCCCTTTTCATGGTAGTTTGTAAAATTGTTGGATTTGAGAAATAATCTCAGTAACATAATTTTTTCAATGTTATAATAGTGACGGGAGCAAATAGAAAAATATTTATCATTGAAACAACAGAAGCATTGCAGTAGGAACCTCTTCACCGAGTCATCTTGGTAACAGATTCCCCTGGAAAGTCAGTAAGGCTCCTCTTCCGTTCACAAGCAGTTTGTGTTTCAGAAGAAGTGAAGTTCATACTTTTTCATCTTTAAAGATTCACTATTTACACGATAAATAAGTTCTATTTGATTTCGTCCTTAGATTAATTTTATAGAATTTCTTGACATCATCTTCAAACACCTCAAAACTGTCTCTTTTGTTCAAAGCCAAAAAGACAATTAACAAAACAAAACAATGAAATGTCTTTTTTTCCTTTATCTTGAGGATAGACTAACTTTTTGGGGGAAATTATATTCCCTTGCAGTTTCATCTGCAGATCAATCAGTTGCACTGTGGAAGGACCAAACACAGTTTCCACATCTCCCAGTAGCATGACCACTGACAACCCTAGCGCACTGCTTGGATTAAGCTGGAGACAGGCCATCACAGCCACATCTGAAGTCTTCATGAGCTCCATAAGTCATTGAGGAGCAGTGCTTGACACAGTGGCCAGTAAGTTCAGCACTCCAGGCATGCTTTCTGGGCAAAAAGGAGATGTCAGGCAATATTCCCAGTAACAGTCCATGGGTTCATATGCAGGTCAAAGAGAAGTCAATGTGCTGGTTCAACACACCCCCACTAGGCACCGCTGTTCTCTGTGGTGGAGAGGGAGATGGGAGCACATGGCCAGAGCTTTGCCAGCCCAGCAAGATGGTGCTCTCCAAACTATCCAGTGAGATGAAAGTCAACCACTGACTCAACAATCGACAAATGTTTGGGGCAGTGAGAGTGGTCTTAATCTTCAGTAACGAGGACCTTTTTTTTTTAAAGAATATGTACAATACTTTGCATTCATATGTACTTATTTTACCACTTAAAATCTCCATGGTTACCTCTTTAAAGCATAGTGAATCATTCAGCTAGGATATGATCATATACAATACAGACCTGCTTTCTGATGTGAAAAACGGCCCCTCTATTGTATGTTCAAGAATATTATGGACCATGCCGCATCTCCTTTCAAGATTACATGGTTGTTGTTGTTTTAACATCTCCAAGATGGATAACAATTGAACTTATGTTGGGAGGAACAGATAAGATACATCATTATGATAAATACCTCTTTAAATTTTAACTTTCACTATCTCACTTGTATGTAGTGCTAGTTTTGTTAATCTGTAAAAACATGCTCAGTCCATCTGAGACTACCAGGAGATTTGGTTGAAAATGTAAATGTGAATTGGCAGAGGCTAGTTTAGTAGTTGAACTGGCATTTTAAGAATGCCCTAGCTAAAATTGCTTAAGTGCATTAAAAGGAAAATAAAACTCTTTGGTTTGACATGCACATTAATGGGATTCAGAATGAAATTGTACATCCAAAGGAAAAAATAAAACAAAAGAAAGAGGAGCTCTGTTATTACTTGTCATAAGAAATTGACTCACTTTATGAAATAATATGGATTTGCCTTTGCTAAAAACTACTGACTGGAAATTTTAATAATAATCACAGTAGGAAGCCTCCTGCTCTTCACATGACATCAAACTCCATCTCATTTTACTGCTCCCACTTTTTGTGATTGAGAATATGTTTACTGCACTTCGCTTTTCCACTCCTGGCTCAAGTAGCACAAGTAGACTGCCGTTTGTGCTGGGAGCAGGTGCTGCATGATACAGCTACTTAAAAGACCGGACTGTGAAAGTTATACTTTTTGTAATATGCTGGACTACCTTCCATCAGTTACTTGTGAGATGTTCTCTAACAGGTGCTTTTGAAAAAGAAATCAAAATGATCAGCAAGGATGTCCCAACCTCTACCATGAGACTGCGTGTTTCATATAGCAAATTCAAGACAAAATTTGAAATTTTTGTCCCCTTGTGTCATATACTCATGTTCTGAAAACAAGGCCGCACTGAATAACCAGCTCGCCTGCCCCTTCATTTCAAAGTCACAGTAAATCAGAAGCCATTGCCCCACTTCTTAACAGCCAGGCTTGGCTAGCGTCCAAATTTGAGTGTGCCGGTGCGCTCGGCAGAGGGAAAAGGTCCACTGCTGGGACCTTCATTTGGTGGTCTGAGGGTTGCTGGAGGAGAACAAGGCCCTGGCACAGGGGCACCTATGCTGGCAGCAGAGGGAATGGCAGGCAGTGCCACTGTCTGTATAGTGGCCCTATCACACGGCCCCAGGTCCTCCAGACCCTCCAGGCCCTGTGGGGGTCCTTCATAGCCCATGTTGAGCCGCAGGGGTTGATGGGCCTGGCAGTAATCTACAATAGGCTGTTCATAGCGGTAGAAGGTCAGTGCACCCATCTGGTGAGGAACCTGGGGAAATGGACAGGATTGTCCAAGAGTGAAGGGAAAAAGGATGAATGAGAAGGAAGAGAGGGAACATAAACAGAAGGAGACAGAGAAAAAAGAAAACATTAGCCTTACAGAATTTCAGGAAATTGTCATTCAGATATACCAAAAGGATAAAGTGTAAAAAGATATGCACAGCATCTTCCCACATACCACTAAACAGTTTTCATTTACACAAGGATGCTGATTAATAATATGCTCTCAACAGTGTGCAGTTGTGCTGAGCAAAACATGGTGCTCAGTCACTAAAATGATCATGCACCAGGTTAATAAGTAAAAAAATAAGTCAGGGGTCAAACTACAGACTGCTTAATGCTTGTGTGTTAATAGGAATTTATGAAATCTTAACTGTGCCCAAATTTTTTGCATGTCTTTTTAAAAACTGAAAAAGTTAGAATATCCATTGCTGATATTTTCTAATATCATTTTAAAATGCTTTGTAGAATGGAAGGCTGAAACTCAAACGCAACATGTCTCCAGAAACACTTGCCCTGATTACTGATTACTTTTATTGGAAGTGTTTCCTTGGTTGAGCGTAGTTCCATTTGCTGGAACAATGACTAAATACTGGGAATTTGTTAAACCAAAACTAACAAGCCCTAGCTGCTTTCATTTAAAATAACTGCTACATTGAAATGGTGTTTCATTTGTCCAATGGAGTTAATTTGTTCTGCAACATTTCATTGTGCCTTTGTGACCAAACCTACATCACAGTTGGTTTGGCAGCTCACCTCTGTAATCATCATCAAATGGTGACCACCTGAGCCTCCAGCTACCTAAAATCAATTTGCTGCTACAGACCCAAAATACTGTATGTGCTGCCAAGCCTCTGCATCAACTGCTTTTTACAGATGTGAAAGGCATCACACATAGAAGTCAGAATAAGCTTCCTGCCCATGACTTGTACTATAATGCTCACTGTGACTGTCAGAAGAATAAGAAGATATGCTTTTGCATGAAGAGATAGATGTGTGTATGAATGACACACAAACTACACAGTAGATGGCAAAACCACACTTTTTTTAAATTGATGGTATAGTATGAGAGCTGTAGCAAATAGGCCTGTGTTCTCTCCACTGCCGTGTCACTTGTGTCACAGCCAAGAGCCTTTATTTGTCTGGTCTTGTGCTCCCTTCACAAGCTTTACCACAGTGCCACACAAACAGATAAGACACTACATAAGCCTAACTAAATCACACACTTATCCACCTTAGAAAAAAAAAGGCTAATTAGGAGATTTCCAACAGGCCATGAAAACAGCAGGGTAAGATGGCAACTGACCTGGATTAAACACAACAGCCTGGCAGGGTGACAGATCATCAGATCTCTGCGCACAGGCAACAAGAAGTACACAACAACAACAGGAACTACAGATATGACACTAAGATGAAATGCATGAATAATGCAAATACTGAATCTTCAGGAGGCATTGGAAACAGAGCAAGTGTCACAACTGCACTGTCTTTCATGCACATCGTTGACATTTACTTTTACCATGATGATGGTAGCCAGAGCTTGTGAGTAAAATCTCAACCATTGCTTAACAAAAAATATTAGTTCCAAAAGATATAAGACATGTTTTTCTACTAGTACTGAGTACTAGCACTAGTGCTGGTACCTAGTCATGCAGAATCTTTTACATTCGGAAAGCTGAAAAGCAACAAATCCTACTTGAAACAATGGTCTTGGTAACCTGGATAATAAACAAATATTGATGTGAACAGGTTTCATTGAATTAACAGTCCTTTAAAAATGGTTGGCAGCAAAAATTTCCGAAGAAAAAGCTTCAGAAGCTTGGCACTGAAAACATAAATTAGCTACAGTACATGGTTAAATACCACACTAAGTTTATTTAGTTTATTATGACTTGATAATATTAATTACTCTAATCTCTGGTGGGAAATTCACAACCTACCCAGAAGTGTGCAAGCTACTTCAAAGAAACTTTAGCTCTACTATATTAACTGTGATGTACATAATTATACACCAATAATTATAGGCCAATAACATGTTATACATTAATGCAAACTGTGCCATTCTGCATAATGAGTACTTGTAAGTTTATTAATGTGAGTATATTTTATGCTAATACGTTTGTATGTTTACTTAAGTAACAATTTGAATGCAGGACTTTTATTTGTAAGAGTATTTTTACACTGTGGTATTGCTACATTTACTGAAGTAATCAATGTGAGTACTTCTTCCACCACTTCTCTAAATTATGTCCCATAGACACAAATCAGAGGGAGACACGTGAACAATGTGGATTTAAATATATGGGAGTCATCAGTATGACCAGTCCTTTTATTTTACTAAACTTGTCAGATAAAGTAATTCTGATAACAAGAACTCATAGTTGAAGGAACATGAGAGAATTCAGGACATGCTTTGTAAAAGAAGACAAACTGTGTCAATGAAATGCAGATATATACTGGCTTCAAAGGGAGAATACTGTGTGTTTCTGAGTGTGTGTGTGTGTGTGTGTGTGTGACAGAGAGAGAGAGAGCAAGCACAGATTTCAAAGTTAAATGGAAATAGTCTGCACCAACACAGCTTGGCATTTCAGGAATCATACTGTACTACACAGCTAAGATAAAGCCACTCTGACAGCATTAACACCAGTTCTGTTTTATTTTATTTTTTAAGTATTGTTGTAGCCTTGAGCTTTATGCTGTTAAACATAGCAACAATTCAGCTGCTGCATAAAGTGGTAGTCATGTATTCATATAAAACAGTTACTGAGCATGTTCATATTACCCTGTAATAATGGAGGTAGCAAGACTTTTATTCTCACAAAACAGCCTTATAGCCTTCCAACCCAGCCTTTATTTCAACTACATCAGTGCATCTCCACAAGCACCACCTTCCTTCTTTCCATAAGTACTTCCAAGTACTCCTCAAAAGAACTCCATTAAGTGAGACTGTCTCATTACATTATAGGCACTCAGTGAATTACTTTCCTTATTCCCCTTCCAGCTTAAACCCTTCCCCTATCCTGCTGCGACTGCTGCAGCCACCACACTACCACCTCATCTCACATCACACATCCCAGTCCACCTCAGCTCTGCTCACAACTCCCTGCCCAGGTCCACTGAATTAATTAATTGGTATTAACTCCTAACCATTTCAGTGAATTCTATCAAATTGTCAGGGTATAAATCTGGCCTCGTGTAGACTGTGTGTGTGTGTGTGTGTGTGTGTGTGTGTGTGTGTATATATATATATATATATGTGTATGGTGTGCCCTTGGTATTGCTCACATTATGGGGACTGAAATCTATTAACACACTCACACTGTGGGGACTCAGCCATCCTCATGGGGACCAGAGGCTGGTCTCCACCATGTAAAGCATTGGATTTTAGAGTGACAACATGGTTTAAGGTTAGGGTTGGATTTAGGGTTAGGCAAGTAAGAGCTGTATGTTAGTCTCTATGAAATTTTTTTTTTATGTTACAGAGTGAGGACATTTTGGCCGGTCCCCACTTTGTGAAACACCTTTTTGAAGATTAAGACTTGGTTTTAGGGTTCATGTTAGAATGTTTAGGTTAGGTGTTAGGGTAAGGGTTATGGTTGGGCATTTAGTTATATGGTTCAGGCTAGGGTAAGGGGCTAGAGAATGCATTACTTCAGTGGGTGTTTTTACAAAGTGTGTGTGTGTGTGTGTGTGTGTGTGTGTGTTAACACACACACATTATGGGGACTTATCCTTCCTTGTGGGGACCAGACGCTAGTAATCACTGAATTTTAGGGTGGCCACATGGTTTAAGGTTAGGTGAAGTACTACTATCTTGACGATTCTCCCGATTTTGTCTTATTCAAAATGATTTGATATTGATCTTGTGAATGTGGAGAGAATGAGACAGAAAAAGAGTTAAAGAAAACTACACAATATAAGGGGAGATACTGAACCAGTACTTCTGACTGTTTGAAGTGCAGCTGTTTAAAGATTGTGATGTTGAGGGATGCATAAATATCAGTTGACCTGGCTTGGCTTGTTGAACAAAGTCATAAACTCCTTTTGCTCTTGTGTCTATTTCTGTAAACAACAAATGTTATTGATATTCACCGGCTGTTCAAGTTGCAAGGTAATGTACAGCTGGCTAATAAGGAATGCTGTTCACCTTTTGTTGTGCCTCTCAGCATTAAGAAAATAGTTTTTTTGAGGGTGGAGACAGCAAAATATGTAAATGGATTACATCTGTTCAGGTTTACTAAACAACTAACTAGACACTTCAATTTGTTGTTCAAATGTTCAAAAATATGTGGTTAAGGTGGAAATGAATGATGTTAAGTTGGGAGCTTATCAAACAGGAGAAAGTCCTTTTTCACAAAGTGAAAGCATCGCCAGGCAAAATCTTCTGTCAGTATCTGTCACTATCACTTAAATACTAATCCAGACTCTTTTGCTGCTGTTAGTCAACAGAAAAATCCTCTCCCTGTCTGTTAGTTTAGTGTCTACAAGGATTTTTAAGAAAATTACAGAAACAATGACTTTGGTGTGACAAAATTACAATTTAAACTACAATAAAACGTGAACATCATGATTTATTTATCCATCATTTGGTTGGAGCCTGGAAAACATGAGGGATATTGTTGAAATGTTGATTTTAGGCTGAACTATTTGCAGCTTGTGACTTCTGCATAAATTTGGAGAAACTGGTACCAGTTAGTTTTGAAAAATGACATTGTCATGCAAAGCATCTCAGCATAGCTACCAATTTCTATCACCCCAATTTCAGCATCTTTATACTAAAGAATTATGCATTAAAATTGACCATTTTAGTTATCAGCATTCATGTGTACCATAGTTTGGACTTATTTTATTTATTTATGTACTGCCCTGAAAACTGCAACCTCAGATCATAAGAAGCTCCTGACAGCTTCCAAGCCCAGTCTGAAGACACTCTCTTCATTTGGATATGCAGGAAGGGTGCAAAAATGCAGGCTCTCATTCGCTAAATCT